GAGATAAACTGAACATCCTTGTGGTAAAACACCTCTAGCAATAATCCACATTATTCTATGACAGTTTTATCATTTATGCACATGTAGGCGAGATCTTCCACCCAGTGCCCACAGCCACCAAATCCAGACAGCAATTAAAAAGAAACGTACCGGACAAGCAAACAAAGCTAAACAGCTGTTAAGACTTAAAGACTACCTGTCACTGTACGTTTCCACCTTTTTGCTGCCCCATCCTTAACCCTTTTCTCACTTCCAATTATCAATACGTTCAAGCTAACAACCATTATCCAAACTTATAGTCACAGTACACAGCTTCAGTTACTTACCAAATGCACTCCGAGTGCTAATGACATGGTGCTACAAAGCTCTCTGAGGACCTGAATAAAGGCAGTTTTATTTTAGTCCACACGAGAAACAGAAAGCGGCATCCTCTGATCCTAGTGTTTATGAGAGAGCCTCCTCTCATTCTCTCTGCCTCACTCTTTCTCCTTCCTGTCTCTCTCTCTCTCCGCAGCGAATGGATCCCACACAGCTGCAGCACGCCTCTCTCCCACAGATCAGGGAGGATGTGGGCGTAAAGTGATTTGATTTGCTCTGAATTGTGAAGAGAGGAAAACAAGCCAAACATATCCTGAGAGAAGCTTTCAAATCTTGAATGACAGCCTGAATGAATCTGACCAACGGCTTTAGCCAGAGCCCGCATAAGTACATGAAAGCCACACCGACCATGTTTATACGGACATGAAAATTCAGAATAATATCAGAATGTGGTCATACGTCAATGTTGTAAGCACCATGTAAACACGTTAATCAGCCAATATTCCAGTCAGAACTGCCATGCAAGTATTTGAGCCAAGTGGAATGCAACTTCACCAAAAAAATTAAAAATAAATAGGCTTATAATAATAATAATAATAAAAGTATGATTATTATTGCGAGCATATGCATGTCCAAATAAAAGCAATTATTAGTGCTATAAACACACTGAAGAAGATTTTGAGTCAGGAGGAGATTGATTCTTTTATTCAAACAGTAAAAGAATTTAATAAACAAATAAACAGGCAAAAACATTGTAAGGGTCTCTTCACCGACATTTTGCAATTCAATGTGCTCCTGTGTGCTGTTGTTAAGGACATGAATGAGAATTAATGAGTTGATTACATTTTCAATTTATTTTTACTAATTCGGCAGAGTAAAAGGCCAGAACAAGCAATATTGAGAAAAGAGCATGCATGTAACTTAATTTATTCAGAATATGCTGCTTACATTCATACAGGGAACAGCTGAGTGAGGCATATGTGACAAGTGTTTTTCAGAACAAAGTGTTAACTAAAATATGGCAAATATTAAAATAATAAATAAAACTAAAATAAAATAAATTAAATCTAAATAGTAATATTTAAAAATAAAGAGACAAGCACATAACAAAATGACAAAAATTTAACTAAAATAAAAATGAAAACTGAAAATATAAAAATAAAAGCTACTTCCAAATATGAATAAAAACTTTACTACTATAAGACTGATATGGACCTCAACTGAAAAACTATTTATACCAAGAGAACTGTGGATATAGATTCATATGTTTCGAGAAAATGTCAAAGCCTGATTCACTCAGCAACAGCTGTGTAAATTCCTGCAAGGTATATTAAGCTGTATGCATTTAATTGTATTGATACTATAAAGCTGTAAATTTCATGTGCATAGGCCTGTCATAATAATCAATATATCGACTTATCGCACAAAATATGTACATGACCTCAATAATTTCTGGTGACGCAATATATTGCCCATTATATTTACATAAAAATTAATGTCACCATGTTTTTTGCATTCCACTTGAGCCAGTGTCTTTTACAGCTTCTCGTACATAACGTGGTGTAGTTGGTGCTAGTTCAAATTTAAAAAAATGCTTCTACAAAAAATGTTTCATCTGCAGATGTGGCCTTGTTTAGGGATCTGTGCCTTTGTGCATACGGACATCTGACTGCTAAGTAGGGATTGTGTTTTTCAGCAATACAGTGTACCCTTAATTTACAGAGAAAAGAAGGTCAGGGAAAAATCTATAGATGGAAAAATCTCCATACAAGTTCTTTGTGAATTTTTCTTTTTTCTACTTGTTACTTTGCACTTTTTGTTAGAAAATGTTTATTTACTATTTATTCAAGTTTTTTAAGGCATCTAATATTTTGATACTTAATTTCCACGATCTAAATATTCTTAAAAATTAAAAGTTTGTTGTCATTTGAAAGTGTGTTGGCCTTCTTGCATTATTATGCTATTATATTATGATTATATATTCAGTGGCATGAAATGGTCTTAAAATTACAATAATATTGTTTAACGCAATTATTTCCGGGCCAATATATCGCACAACAAAAAGGTGTTATCGTGACAGGCCTACATGTGCAATAAAAATTATAATAATAATAATCTGAACAGCCCTCTCAGCAGGCTATAACTGAGCAGAGAATTGCTTCCCAGCAATAATATTATAATATCAACAGCCTTACTGATGAGGCCCTCAAGACACTGTAGCACTGAAACTCAATCAAAGCACTTGTGCACACCAAATTATTTCGGGACAACAAATACGATTTTGTGAAGCTTACGGGTCAAAAGCTACCAGTGAAAGACCCCCTAAATAGCCTCTGCTTTGAGCAGAGTGATTTATACATTTAAATTCATGCATCAACAAAATGCGATACTGTTAAGTAACCGATACTACACCGACTAGCAAAAACTTTATAAAAATAGAGAGGAAAACAAATCGAAACAAAAACAACCACAAAAGCCCTCGACAGATACTGTGGCATGATAATGGCTCAAGTACTAATGCAAAACTCTTGCTGTAGACTGACCTGGACGTGTCATGCAAATGAACTTTTCACTTAAAGCAAAGAGCCACGAGAGCACTAACCAAAGTGAGTGCTGCCAGCAGAGGATAATGCTTCTGCTACATCACAATGATAAATGATAATAGTCACAGCACATCTTTGAGTACCACTACCTGCCATTTCATCAACCTACTCTAGCAGAAGAAGCCAAGTGGATGATGACTTGCTGGAATAATATCTTTTGACTCAGAGGTCCAAAACAGCAGTTGCTAGTGAAGATGTTGGGCCATAGATAGAAATTAGAACAACCAAGCTCATGAGAGCAGCAAAAGATACCAGGTGCAAAGAACAAACTGACAGTTTAAGTCACATATCATAAAGTTCATTAAAACACCAATCTGTTTAATACAGTCTAACGTCCACTGTACCATCAAATATTAACATCCACTCTACAGAATTAGTTTCAGACGAATCGACTGGATACATTTACACAGCTCACATGACTATGAAAAATTAAAAAGCCGATGACAATGAAGTGATTGTTCGAGATCGTTTTGCTTCGGATTGTTCATTGTTGATGTGCAGCTCATCAAAACGCCTCAGTGAATCAAGTCCATCATGTCTTTGAGCTCAAGGGTCCCATGAATGCAGAGACCTAAACAACTGACTCCTCACAAGTGAAAGAACTAAAAACAGACCATCTTGCATATTAAACGCGCAGATCAGTGCAAACAGGTCACCCACACACGCATACACTAAAACTGATTACATTTGATTTCTGTAATGTCTTTGGCACATCTTCAGGAGTGTGCCGCCAGAGCACTCTATCATAATAAAAATGTCCATACATGATTGAACCACTGAAACTGGCATAGCTGATGCCTTCATTGTTACTATATTACTGTTGAACTCATGGAAAATGCTCTTAAAGAGATAGTTCACCCAAAAATGTCGTTCCAAAACCATTTTGAACTAATGAAGATATTTTTTATATTCTCTCATCATTTATGCCCATCTATTAAGAGGTGTACTATAATTTGCAAGCTTCAAAAAGTACAAATAGTCATCTTAAAATAAATCCATATGAATCTAGCGGTTTAACCCAAGTCTTCTAAAGAGATATGATCACTTTATATGATGAATAGATTTAATTTTGCCTTTAATTCAGATATAAACATTGATCAACACATACAGATACACATCAAACATAGTCGACAGAATGCTTGCTTGGAGAAAATTTTGGTTGGTTGGACTTTAAATGGACATATATTATTGATGAGAGAAAATATATCTTCATTCGTGTTACTAAGATGAATGAAAGTCTTATGGATTTGGAAGGACATTAGGGTGAGAGTAAATGATAACAGAATTTATTATAAAAAATTTTTTTTGGATGAACTAACCCTTGAATGTCTAACTAATCTGCATGTCTAAACTTGTCAAGACATCCCTCCTCTTCCAAACAAGAGAGTATATAAAGGCTTTTGCCATAAAGAGGCAGTTAAAAATATCATTTCTGTCATCCTTCACTAATCTTCATGTTGTCAGCCAGAATGACAGTCCCAGTAACCATTCACTTGCATCATATGGAAAAGGAGTCATTGAAAGGGTGACTGAGGTTGTCAATTCCTTACATTTCGCCAAACATCTTCTTTCGTAATCCACAGAATAAAGGCTGGAACAAAATAAGGATAGGTAATTTTTCATTTTAAGGCGAACTGTCCCTTTAAGGTTCCTGAATGCACATTGGCAAACATTGTGTTTTGCTTAAAATTAAAAGCAAAAACACTTGGGGAATTCTACTAGTAAACAGTGGCCAAGTAAAGAAAAACAACCCAGACCATTTTATTAAACCAACACCAACTACAGATTTAGATTAGGGAGCATTTACATTTGTTTTGAATATTTTGTAGACGTACAAATGCTGGAATTAAACCAAATAAGCTCTGACATCCTACTCCTTCATACTTGAAAGTCTAATACAAAGAAGCGTCACGAATCATAGCAAAATTGCAATTTAGCCACAATATTACAGCATATATTCAGCATGATCCACAAAAAAGTAACGCGTCAGTGTGCTTTGTTACATTTGTAACGCTTGTTGTTTTACTACAGAAACTATATCGGCTGTAATCAACCATCATCATTGTAACAAGCACTAACCTTGATCCTCTTCCACTTGTTACTACGCCATACGCCATTCACTCTTTGTCGGGATTCCCCTTCATTTCCTAAAGCTCTTCCCGCATTCCACACTCTGATTCAATGGATTTTAATTTATCTTTTCGGAGATTCCTAGTCACATCCAACACTCCACTGACAGTCTATTGAACACAATGAGAAAGAGGGATAGGGCTTTAAACAGCTGTTTCCAAAATGGAGTGATCCCACAGCCAATCATACTCCGTCTGCTCTCTTACCAATAACAGCACTTCACTTTGTTCACGCGGAGCTGCTTGCGTGAAACAAAAATTGTGTGCTGAACAGTAACTTTGAATAATCCGCATCTTGAAATGTTTGTTTTTAGGAAGATTTATGAAAAGGAAGCAAGTTTCCAAGCTGCAGTACGTCACTGCTAGTGCTGAATACCCTTACAAAATTACCATGGTAACCAGTTTCCGCAAAAATACCATACCACAGTGATTTTCTTATTATGAAAATGTGGGAACTTTAGCCTTCACTGTCAGTAAAAATGAACAAATTAAGCAAGATAATTTCTGAAAACTTTATACTTTGAAGAAGATATTAATGTAAGGTGTTTTACTGTAATATATTTTTAAGGATTTTATGGTATTTTGTGCCGGGTGAACACATTTTCCAGCTATAGGAAGAAAGGAAGTGTGCTAGTGGATGAAGTTTCTGTCAGATGGTGCATGTCTCCATCTTCTGGTGAACTCCATACTACACAGCACTTCTTCCGCCAACCAAAAATAACAGATTAATTTCTTAACTTTGAAAATTATCATCTTTACTGACTGTTTCACAAAATATTTAAATAATAAGATGTCTACAATACTGACACATTAAACACAAGGCTTAAAAATAAGGCATAAAATGTGCTCAGTAAGACAAAAATTAAATTACATCCCTTAATACTTAAAATAAAACAAACCAGTTATCTTTACAAGGTGTATACAACATTAAAGGTTAATATTCATCTGAACAATTTTGGCAAATGACAATATACAAACACACATTGTGAATTGGCCACTTAACTTTCAAAATATTGTGTTGTTGAGAAGTAAATAAGTGTACTGAGCTAACTGACCTCAGCTTAATATGCTTTACATGTACCACTATCTGATGTCTAACCAATTTTAAAGCTTATCACGAAACTTATAATAACAACGGTATTGTGTGTACAAAAATGTAACGCACACTCGCGAACAGTAAAAGACATAAACAAGGAAAACAATATTTTAGAGCGGTCCACAAATTGGAAATAAACATGGTCATTATTTTATTCTCTGTAGGATAAAATAATCTTTTGTACCAAGGCTTTTAAATAAAAAAAAAATGCACATTGTTATTGCTTTGGATATAATTGACATGAGCCACTATCTCCAATCTAAATTCTCTATTTAATTAACCTTTCTAAATATCTCATTTTCCCTTCACCCTAAATTAAGGCAAGCAATATTTGATTTGTGACATAAAATAAGAATGATGTAGTGCTGAACATTGTTTTAGACATTGTAACAGATACAGACACAGATTAAAACCCAAGGCTGAGTATTCTGAAAATGATTTTGAATCAAGTTTTTTTAAACACATGGTAACCAGATTAAGCCAAAGCAATAAGAATATATCCAGCATCTAAATGGCTGTCTGTACTAGATCTTTTAAACGGTCAGACTCATCCGGTGACCTGTGAATACATAGTTGGTCATAGCTAAATAAATGTTTCAAAAGAAGCCATTGCACAATGTCAGGAGGTCAGTAACAATAATAAAGCTGGGAACGTAGATGTCTGAAGGAGTCCTCTCCATGTGCGCCAGCTTGCTCTCCCTCAAACAGCATGGAGTCTGGCATAACGACGCCCTCCAGAGGATCAGGCTGACAGAACTCCACCACAAACTCTTCCTCAGCCCCCAGCAGCGTTCTGGACCAGGCAGACATGTCAAGTCTTCCAGCCACTCCTCCATACTCTTGAGGCAGCACAGACTGAGGAATGACTCGATGGAGAGAGGCCAAGTCTGAACCGTGAAGAACATACTGTTGGGAGAAGACAGGCCCTTGTTTCCAGTATTATTGTGCTAGAAATGTCTGTGCGTAAATACCAGGATAAGAAGTCAGTTACTTACCCTCTCTGCCATTTTCTCTTTCAGAAATGGCTTAATTATTGCAAAAATACCCTTGAAGATACGTGGCTCATTTATAATGTTTACAGCCTTTATTCTGATTGGGAAGCCATCCTGAAACACAAAAGCAGCAGTCAGTGCTAAAAATCAATGACTTCATCGTAAATCATCTCTGGGCTACTTTTTCCAATGTCTTACCTGAAGGATACCAACAACTTTCTTTGCCAAAAGTGGTCCTGGATTAGAGGCTTGAGAGAGGCCAACTCCTGTATAATCCACCAGGATAACAATTCCATTCACTTGGGTTTCCTCAGGCTGAATCAGCTTCTCTAATGTCAAATAAATTGCCCGAATGTTGTCCACAAATGGGTAATCATTAGGCTTCCATTTACCTAGGAAAGCAAAAGACAAGAAAAAAATGTTTGTTGTAATCATCTTTTCGGCTCAATTATAACATATTTGTGTGCACGAATAAATCATTCATAACAAACAATGCAATATTTGGGGGGGAAAAAACAAAAAGAAGAGCAGCATTCTGGTTAAAGTGGAGGCACAGTTCCAAAAGGCTTTAATCCTATAAAACAGGGGATTCAAACTCAGTTCCTCGAGGGACGCAGCCCTGCCCCAACACACATACCATGTAGTTTCCAAATAAATGTAAATGACTTGATTAGCTGGATCAGGTGTGCTTAATTAGGGTTGAATCTAAACTGTGCGGGGCTGTGGCCCTCCAGGAACTGAGTTTGACACCCCTGCTATAAAGTATCATAATTCGATACATGAATTTCTAAGGCCTTGCTGAAAAACCTGTTGTACAGAAACTTCTACATCTTCATAATATTCCATATGTTTTTTTTAGTAAGTAAAAGACCTTTTAGTATAATTCTAAAAACATCCACCTTCAGGTCTTGTTTTTTTTGCTGCGAAATCTTTACTGATTTTTATGACATATGAATGACTTTTACATAGTAATATTTTAAGATGAACATTTACTGGACTTAAAGGGTTAGTTCACCGAAAAATGAAAATTTGATGTTTATCTGCTTACCCCCAGAGCATCCAAGATGTAGGTGACTTTGTTTCTTCAGTAGAACACAAACAAAGATTTTTAACACAAACCATTGCAGTCTGTCAGTCTTATAATGGAGGTGAATGGGAATCACGGCTTTGAGAGTAAAAAAAAACATACACAAACAAAACCAAATTAAACCCTGCCGCTCGTGACGATACATTGATGTGTAAAGACACAAAACGATCGGTCTGAGCAAGAAACTTTACCTCTGATTCACGCAATGTCCGAACTGTTCGAACTGTCCTGAGCGGCGGCGCATCCTCCTGAGCGCATTCTCAACAGCGGGCGCTCTTCTTCTTCTTCTTCTTCTTGCTTTACTGCGGATCACAGACTTATAAGTGCATTACCGCCACCTATCTCTCAAGTGGACCATAAAGCCATGATTTCCATCCACTGAGATCATAAGACTGACAGACTGCAGCAGTTTGTGTTCTACTGAAGAAACAAAGTCACCTACATCTTGGATGCCCTGGGGGTAAAGCAATTTTCATTTTTGGGTGAACTATCCCTTTAAGCAACCTAGGTTGACTGGATTACCCATACATTATTTTTTAGACAAATCATTTTGCATTATATGTTTTGCCCCCTGCAATGAAAACTACAGAGCTTTGATCATGAAACTACTCAATATATTATTGGGAGATATAGAATGACAACTGACATGTATATGCACTTTATGTAAGTTTGCTATACTAATATAATAACTAATTGATTAGCCATCAGAATTTCATCTTACTTTTTGATCATATAAATGTCAGCCGTTCCAAATTGCATGTTTTTGCCCATTTTGGGCCTCTGAATAACATTGAGGTGTTTTTCCTTCTTGAGTGTGAGCTCCATTTTTTCACTATATCATACTATATGAGACAATAAACTCTTCCATTTCAAAAGATTCTATTTTTTTCTAACTATTATGTCTTATGTCAGGTTTCACATAGTTATTTTTTTTTATAATTTATTAATCTAACCCAAATATTTGGATTTCATGTCTGATTAGGTCTTGTTAAGACAATAAGAAGAAGCATTACCTGGACGTAAACACAGTATGTAGCGTCCATGAGGGTCTGGTCTGGGCAGGACAGTGAGAAAACCCAGATCTAGGACGTGCTTCACTGTAGAGGGCTTCAGGTCCTGAAACACCTCAGGCCAGGCTTTCCGGCTGGCATGATAATTCAAGAGTAGCTGAAGGGCCCGGTCATAATCAAACTTTCTGGCCCTGAGGAAACGCAGCAGGAATGCATCGTCTAACCGTGTCCTCAGATTAGGGTGGTCTTTTAGTATCATATCTCGTAATGCCTGGACATCCCGGAGCCTCCATTCGGGCTTCTCCTGGAGCTCTTCCCGTGCCTTGGCCACTAGTTCAGGAGTCAGGGTGCAGGCGTAGATGGGTGGGGGAGGAGCTGGGAAGCCTACACCTGCCACCGCTTCCCTTGGTGGGCCAAGATCAATTTGACCATTTTGGTCTGCCATGGGCTATTGGTGTATAGAAATATTCAAGTCTCTTTAAATATAAAATAATGTAAATGACAAACATAGAACAGTTTATGGGCAATTGCATTTCCACAATTTTAGCTAATTTTAAACAATGTCTCAAAATAGAACAATACAGAAATACAATCGAAAATTTACAATAAATAAGGAACAAATAAGCATTTTTCATTTATGTTGACTCAGCTTAAAATAATTAAATTTATTACCAAGTCATTTTACTTTACTACTTTTTGGAACCTGTATTAGCTGTTAAGGTATTTAAGAAGTATTTTCTATTCCCTTCAATAGACTAGTGTGAAAATCAATATTTTTTGTTGGTAAATGTTAGATTTGAAAGACATTGGGTTCATATTTATATAATGACAATGTACCTCTTTCTGGTGACCATTAAATTAAAGTAATCATGGTATTATTTTCTACAGTATTTTCTAAATACAGCAAGATGTTTTATGAGGAACAACTGTAGTTGGACTCATATGCTTAAACATGAACTGCACTATCATATGAATAAGAAAAAATATATACATCTCTAATAACTGATGTCAGAACCATAGCTAAACCAATATGAAATCATCTTAACGCTACTGTGGTGCTCATGAATTACTGTAATTAAACATATAAAAACGACGCTTGGTACTTTAAAATGCTGAATGATTACATTTATCGTGATAGCTTCCGTTTTTCAACGTTTAATAGTTGATGCCCTTCACGTAAAACCGAACACAAATCAAACAGGGAATATAATCAACCTACCTACGAAATCCGCAATCAATTCCGTGTACAGGGAGAAGCCGTTCTACCATTGGTCATTCTGTATCATGTGATGTATGACGAAAGACACGTTTATTCTGCCTGTTTCCCTTAAAGCTGAAGTGTGTAATTTTTTCGAAATAAAACATCGAGATACCCCAATTAATATGCAGAGGCGATTATAAACAAGTAGCTTGTAGTCTGATTTACCGTAAAATGTAAACACTTTGACTCTATGACGGTATCAAACATTGCTCGGATTATTTGAGCATCTTTACAGCGCAACATTGGCTCAACCAATGGCGTCGGTTTGGGGGCAGGACTATGTGTTTTTGGCCAATTGCAGCAGACACAAAGAGTGTTTGGTTCGGGGTAACTTGTTTACAGACGCGGTACAGGTAAGGACGGGGATTTAAGCAAAAGTGGCGTTGGTTTTGGTTATAAAAAAATCGACTTTTACTTTTCATATGCTTTTATTGGCCACACCTTGTTACATTCTGTCCCATCGAAGTACCCTAGGTGTTCGAAACAGTTATGAAATAAAAAATGTTGAACTAAGCCAGTGGTTCTCAAACCTGTCCTGGAGTACCCCTATGGGCTTACATTTCTGCCACAATTCTGCGCGCGAAAGATCATATTTTGAGCGCACAAAAGTGCATTTTGCACACGCGCGATCTGAGTTTGTGGAGAAAATGTTCGTTTCGCAAAGAAAAAAGTCTTTCGAGCGCACGGAAATCAATTTTGCATTTAAAATACGTTTTTGGATGTGTGCAGACCTTCTCTTTTGCCCATGCAACGTTTCACTAGCTTGTTCACCCGATGCCCGCCCTCTGTGCTGGCTTAATGCCAACAGCTCGCGTGCTCAACACAACCCAGCCTTACAATGTGCCATAATTCCAGCCAATCAGAGACAGAGGCTGCTAAATTCTGATTGGCTGCCTTGACAACCAATCACAACATTATATCTTGAAAGCTACTTGACACTAGGTTTATTGAATTATAGATGTGATTAACGTGAGGTTCATTCAATAACTGGCACATCTGGTTATATCATTCCTGACAAAGATTTCTTAAGAGAAACTATCAGTAAAGGCGCCTGCTTTATGAATTGTTTTATTGTCTGTTATCAGTGTTAAGAAGCACACACCCCCAGCACTAAAAATCCTTGACCATTCTCTGCCACGTACACTTACTTTTATCATCTTGTTTTGAAGCAGGTTTTACAGCTGGAGATGATTACGAGCCTGAAAAGTTCCTCTGAAAAACTTTTGCCATTGAGTAAGGCTTTAAATTCGGAAGGAAATGGCGTATGCATGATCACAGTTTAAGTGCCTGCTGAAAAATAAAAAAATAAAAAATCTTAAACCAGTCTTACTTTGCTGGATTTTATCTGGTCTTCTAGCCTGACCTGATATTTCTCTGAAAATTGTACTAGTCCAGACCAACAAACCATTTTAGACTGGTTTAAGTTGGATTATCTAGGAGGGTATATAAAAAATAAAAAGGATTATTTGAGATGTTAGTTCAGACCACCCACTGAAATTATGGTGGATGCTGTTTAAAAACGTTATTATATAGAAATACGTTATAACGTGTATAACGTTATTATATAGCAGCTTGTGTGACCTCAAGATAAGATTCAAAAAGATAATTATAGAGATATGAATGGAAAGAAACAACAGCACGCTTTTATGTAAAAATATAGCCTTGACATTTAATATCAGTTCACATTGCAAGTTTGAAATTACCCTTCTCCCTGAAGGCAGTCATTGTAAATTGGCAGTAAATGACCAACATGTAAAACTATAAATGAGTGTGACATTCTCTTACTGTATGCATACATACACATCACTAGTTACAGTTAAGGGGTTGAACAGGAGACTTTTTTTTTTTTTAATCCTAAAATCATGAATTAGAAGAGACTAAATCCTTTTATGAAAAAAAGGAAATCATTATATTTACAATTGAAGTATGGCACAAACAGAAAAATATGAAATGCACATACTCTTAGCATACATAAAATAATTACCAGCATTTTGGTAAATAACAATATTTCCAAGGCACAAAATGTTATGTATTCTATTATGCTACCGTAAAAGTACTATAAGAGCCAGAAGCAAGCTGTTAAAATACTGTACAACAAAACAAACATCTGATCACATTCAGGCCTGCTGTAACATTTATGGAACTCAAACTCTCCTTGAAAGGAGAATAAAACTTGCATATCCTTTGTATAATATGGTCTTTTCTGACTTTTTAAATTCTGTTGTGACTCCTTGGGTTGTATAAATATGCACCACTAGTTCATTCTAAAACATACATACAGCAAACAAATGAGATGGGATGAACATATAGATTTAAAGTGTGATTGCTGCACACCTTTAAACTCAACTATTTTGGTCTAAAGTTCTTAAAATAGGAAATTCTGAACAATTTCACTGTGTCTTTTCTAAAAACCTTAAATTTAACAGCTAGTGAATATAAATGTCAGTGTTACTGTGTCCAGATGCCTATGAGAATGAATTGTCACACTCAGCACAGCCTATTCATAGTAACAAGTTAAAAACTTGATCTGTATTTCTCTGTGCACTCAGATGGCCTCTTGTTTGGTGATGGTTGGTTGAGGGATGGAGCTTGGTTGCTTTGGCACTGTGGCTATAACCCCCGGTGCCATTTTGTAATGATCAGAACCTGAGGCTGTCGGGGGAGATGGGATTGGAGTTTCCGGAGTTGCTGTTTGGAAAAAACAAAAAACAAGAGGATACATTAAATCAAGGTCCACATAGGGGTATTATGAAACCTTAAATAAACATAATTTGCATAGCATGATAACATGCGAAAGAAAGAAATCATTGGTTGACACAAAATAAGCACGCTTATGAAATTTCTGAAGGCATTAGGGTAGAAAAGCATTACAGTAGCCGTCTTTGACAAAATAAGCCTGATTAGTTTCTACGATTTTGGCAAGGATTACTCCAACAAGCCTGTTTGTCCCTGACTACCTGGTTTTCACATTTTAAGGACCTATATTTTCTGTTAGGTCTTCCTTCATAACAAATGTTCTTTCACTTGGTTCAAGAAGATAGAGTTACTTACACATCTGGCCATTGTGAATAGGAATGGCCATGTTTGTGGTGACTATGACATTGTTACTGAGGTGCTCCTGGACCAGATGTGGGTGTAGAGAATGATGGGCATGAGGAGCTTCATTAGCAGAACCTGACAGAAAAAGAGAGTCATTAAATCTCTGATTGGGAAGATCATTTACAAATCTGAATCAAGTAGGAACTTGTTTTTTCAGTCTATATGATCTATGTAGAGCAGATTATTAAGAAACCGGTAGTTATAGGCTGCCTTTTTTATCTTTTATAACAAGTTATTCCTGTTGTTCCCAGATGTTTATCATGCATCTCAGATATTGCAGCTTTTGACTGCTATCCAAAGTTAAGGGTCATTTATATACAGCGCTGTGCCACAATTGTCTGATAACCATGACTTGCACTTTTCTACAAAAATTTCATTTCATTAACAGAAATCAGTTACCTCCTAGAAGCATCTCTTGTAGCAGGTTGTCTATCTTCGCCATTCCAAACAATTTAACAAATTGGATTTGCTCGATCATTTGCCAGGTGATACTCTGTAGCGTTGGCAACAGAAGTAGTAGCTCGCCGAACCGTCCTCGCGAATCGTACTGCCGGTCATTTATGTAGTCCTCCAAACTAACTTGAACTTGGTATCGCATGCGTTTGATCTTGCTTGGGTCGCTTAAACCTTTGGCATCTACGTGAGTAGTGAAAGATCATCACATTAGATCAGTTTGAAAACTCACTTGATATTCTGATCTGTTTTGTCTCTTTTTTAGGAAAATTTATCTACCTGGATCGAAAAATACAATGGCCTTCAAACAGGCATATTCATTGTCATCGATCTGGAGATCCTGGAAGGGAAGGACTAACTCGTCAAGGATCCTTACAGCCACACGGCTCACCTCCAATTCGGGGCAATTTCGTGGAATTATATGATCATTACCTGCGAGAATCATGGAAAATTGTGAGGTAAAACATTAGTAAAATAGCTTGAGTCCAGAAGACTGTCATATCCACATTTCCAATGTGTCTTGCTTAAAAAACGTACCTAATAGTAAAATGTCCTTATACAGCATGGAGCGTTTGGCAGCTCCTAGCAGGAGATGTTCTCCAGCATGAGCTCGCAGTAAAGCCACCTGAGACAAATGAACAAGCGTTTGTTTGGTTAGAGCCCTTTTTATAACCATATCATCTCATTTTTTAACTTAAGATTAAATGTAGATATTTTTTAAGTATTTTTAGAGGCAAAATTAGGTTGGTCTTCATGCCTGTATGCGCATGTGTGTTTTCACGTGTATGTTTGTGTGAGAAGATGCGGTTTGAGGCACTCTCACCCACAGCTAAAACACTGATCAGTTATCATGCCTCAGTGCTCAGCATGTTAATGATTCTGAATGTCTCAAGAAGAGATGTAACTTTCAAACCAGCTCATCATATTCTAACCTGAGCCATCTAAATACATTAACCACCCAAATGAAAGATCTCTGAACTTTTTTTCCGACTGATATAAAAAATATGAGCCAGCTGGCATTAATATCTATGAAATATATATATTAGGAGTACTCCTAATATATATATATATTTCATAGATATGAATGCATTTTCAGCTAAATAAGACGTTCTTACCTCTTAATAAGAGGGATCTTACCTGATCATCCAGGGGAAGGTCACAGAATGCTGGGATGTATTTAGCCCATTCAACCAGCACCAGCAGCTGCTGTTTCATAGACTCGCACACATCAGTTATAGTGGCTACCTTCTTCGTTCTGATGTCGCCATTCAAGATAGGACCAGGTGATGAGATCTGCGTAGAAGCATATGGGAGAATTTTACATTTATAAATGTAAATCATATAATATATTTTAAAGGTGAATTTAGTCATTTCTGTGCCTCTAGCTACACCCAGTGAAACTGCAGAAATATTGACTGTTTCCGAACGGGTTTCCAAAACAATCTCCCGGTTTACCATTGGTCAGACAGTCATGCCCCAAACCCATGCCATTGGTTGAGCATGTGTTGCTATGCGGTTCTAATTGGAATGCTCAAACAAACAGGGCAATGTTTTGATAGCTGTGCCACAGTGTTTACACTTTTTCAGAGGAATCAACCTACAGATGTATTACTTATAGTCTCTTCATGTTAAACTGGGTTAAGAGAACATATTTTACACAATTCACCTTGTGATTTGAACCTAGATTTGAATCACACTGTGTACCTGTCTAGAAAGGACATCAGCCTGAATGAGTGCGTTTATGGAGGGTAAGCTGCTGTCTTCATAGCTGGATCTTCTGGTGCTAATCCTGTCTCTTTCATTCTGCACAGCTGAGAATGAGAAAAACACTTTTAATCAGCAAATTAACATTCAATTTAATACAAATACACATAGAAGGTTTATTTTAAACAAAAAACAGCTCTGGTTAAACCACTGAAATATACTCTTTCATTATCAGTATTAGTGAACCAGTTCTTACGACCAGTTGAGATTGCAGAGATGAGAGATATTTGCTGACTTTGTGAGAGGGGGGAGTCCTCAAGGTTGCGCTTTTTTTTTTCTTTTTTTTTATCAGTGTGCAGTTATGATGGCTCTAAACTGTTTGTTCAGCATAAACCAGACATAGACCTCAGTGCATTGTTGAGTGAACATTAACAAAATGTCTCTCGCTAACTCTTTCCCTGCTGTTGCAACATCTCCCATTTGCGCCACCTCATCCCCTAACCTCCCAAACAGGGCAGGGGGATTTAATCTGTTTTTTAGTTCTTTAACAGCATTATATAAATAAAGTCTTACAGCATGAACAAATACCTTCCTTCTTCATCCCAGCTCGAAAACATTTCTTTAGTCTGCAGTACCGGCACTGATTTCTCTTGTCTTTGTCCACTATGCACTGTCTGTTAAATCTGTATGGAAGCATAAAGAAGTCAGAGATTTACTTTGACATTGGATAAATTGGATGGAAACATGGTCTGTTATGCAGAATTATGGCATTATGTTTGCAAAATGTAGCCAAAAGTTAGGTTTCTGACCTGCAGGAATACATGTGGTTTTTGCGTACGCTGCGTCTGAAGAACCCCTTGCATCCGTCACAGCTGGAGGCTCCGTAGTGCTTTCCTGTGGCCCGGTCCCCACAGATGGCACATAGGGTGCCGGCCCCTAAATGGTTGGCAACATTCATGTTGGCACTCTCAGCTGGCGAGGAGTCTGAAATCATGGAGGATCTTGAATTTAGTGTCACAAGTGATTTAAATTCTCTTTTCTGTTTTTAACTATTAATTTCAAGCCAAAAAAAATTGTGTGAGAAAGAAGAGCTGCTTAAAATCCCAGAGTCGATTTTAAGCAGCTCTACGTTCTCACACTATTTTTTTGGCTTGAAAACCCATTAAGTTTATGTAATGCCGTGAAACACTTCTTTTTCTGAATGAGACTTAAATATCTGGGTTGCAGATTGAACCAGTCAGACTCCTGATTCCAGACCAATCAGAGTTAAAGTAAATAGGGGAAAGGTCATGGGGTGAAAAATACTCTCAAAAAGACATTTTTATAGCTAAATCAATTGGCAGTGAATCATCATCATGAACATGAGCTGGAAAGGGCTGTTTGCTAAGTAATCCAGAAGTGATTAGTGCTAAACCTGTACAAAAGCTACAACAAGATCATCTTAGATTATGTGAACGCTAATTAGTGTTCTTGATGACCTAACTTAACAAATGTAACAAAAAAATTAACAGTAACATATGATTCTTATGGGTCAGTTTGATTTAAAAAAAGATTATGACGATAGTGATTCGATTTTATGTTGATGACAGAAATAATTTAAACGTTAATAATTTCAAAAGATGTGCGAGTTGTTAAATGTTTTTTATTATGTTAGAGGTAATCAAAGATAATTACATTAAAACCCAAGCAATGATCAAAGGCAAAACGTTGTTAAATGGCTCATCAGTGTAAGTGATTATTTGGTGATCATCTAAATGTAGAATAATTTGTGATTTCCCCTAAACTGTTGTGCTTAAATATATTTGATTTAAAAATGTTAAAATGTAAAATATTGGCTGTAGTATTTCATAATTACAAAAAAGTTATAATTTTATAAAATTATATTATAAATAATTTAAATATACTGTTGAATAAACACCCTCTACAATGAATGACAATGTAACTTCAATATTACATTTTATTTTCAAATGTCAATCTAACTCAAATGTAAACATTTTATAAATTGGACTCTAACTGCTTTACCTAAATATAACTACCATACATATTAGATTACTTTGTCAGGTCGATACTCGTTGGATATCAATTTGTTTCACAAAACCTAGACATGGGAGACTTGGCTGCGAAACATTTACATGACACCCTCTTTGCTCAGTAATCATTCATCCTGGTGTCAAACTTCTCTTGAAATACTATCCAAACAAGTCATTTTATCCCAAGCCGACTGTATGAGAACAAGCTAGAGGAGATGAATGAACCTCTTCTCCTTGTAGAGTACCCTGTCTGCAGGACAAAGCATGCTGTGCTTCTTATCTTCTCCTGAAAAATTAATTTTGTATTGGCTTTTACAATCAGTATTGGGTGTTCTGTGCAAAAGGTTACGAACTTGCCAATTGGCACTTAACTATAACTCTGTTAAACATCTGCCTCCCACACTTGACCATATACTATATACTAGCCTATATAAGTCACTAAAGGTCTCAAAGTTCACTGCGGGTCTGAGCGGATGACTCACCTGTGCTCATCGCAAGCACTTGCATGTTCTCAAACTCCAGGGTGGTGTAGGCTGGGTCCAAGGCCTCGCTATAGTCTGCCATCTCCATGTCTACTAGTGGTTTGGACAAACGCATTCTCAGCTACCTGATGCTGGGGAGAAAGACTTGTCCTCTCCACAGCATTTGGACACCCCCTCATAGGCCAAGCCCCTCCTCTTGGAGGGGTAGACACCTCTGAGTGACAGGGGCCATGTCCTCAAGGGCAAAGATGAGGCTTGCTGTGATTGACAGTTCGGGCCTCCTCCCAGGGCACGGCCCCATTCTGAAGTGGGATGGCTCTTATGTTAATGATTAAAGTGCTAAATCAGAGTTGTTTTTTCAGAGACGGAGACAAACAGGGGGTTTTACTGTCTTATTTTTTGTCTCAATGCCCTAAATTGACTACTAGAAAATATAGCCAGTCTCAACACTATGCTTTCTATCTCAGTTCCCTAACAAGGGCTTTAGGGGTCAAGAAAGATGACTGTCTGGGTCTTGACACATATTAGACACTATGGAAAAAGTCACTCGTATTTGACTCTAATGTATAAGATTGAAAGTAAGTGGTCCGCATTGCAACGTGCAAATTACGTGTTTGCTAAATCTCTGTTAATTCTAGCACAATAAACAACAGCAATAACTCACACAGAGTAAAATTTGTGGCCTTTATGTAAAAGAGCTCATTGTTCTGTTGAACATTCTGCATGTGCACGTGATGCACAACTCCATTCCTGTTGTACAGAAGAGATTGTTTACTTCTCATCAAACCTGTGCTAAACTAGCATTTGGTAGGCAGTAAAATATCTAGATGAATTTGTGATAACACACAGACAGCTGTGTTGCCAGAAATTCACTGTAAAAAGTAATGTTTCTGGACATTTTAATCTCATATGTCAATATAATGGTAATATACACTGGCGTTCAAAAGTTTGGGATCAGAAATATTTTTTATGTTTTTTAAAGAAGTCTCTTATGCTCATCAAGGCTGTATTTATTTGATCAAAAATACAGAAAAAACAGTGATATTGTGAAATATTATTGCAATTTCTAATATTGCTTTCCTATGTTAATATACTTTAAAATGTAATTTCAAATCTTTTCTAACAATAAATGTCTTTACTATCACTTTTTATCCATTTAACACATCATTGTGGAATAAAAGGGTTAATTTCTTTCAAAAATTTGCTGACCCCAAACTTTTGGATAGTAGTGTATATTGTAACACAAAATTTTTATTTTAAAGGGCTCCTATTATGCTCTTTTACAAAGTCTTGATTTTGTTTTGGGGGTGTACTACAACAGGCTCTCATACTAGGTTGTTCGAAAAACACAGTATTTTTCACATATTTTACATTATTACAACACAACACTGTTCTTTTTAACTTTTTATTTACCAAAGAATCCTGAAAAAAGTATCACAAGTCCCAAAAATAAGCAGCACAACTGTTTCCAGCACTGATTATAAATCAGCTTATTAGAATGATTTCTAAAGGATCACGTGACACTGAAGACTGGAGCAATGATGCTGAAAATTCAGCTTTGCTTCACAGGAATAAATTATATTTTAAAGTGTATTAAAATAGAAAACTGTTATTTTAAATTGCAGTAATATTTCATAACATAAATTTTTTTTCTGTATTTTTCATAAAATAAATGCAGCCTTGATGAGTATAAGAAACTTCTTCAAAAAACATAAAAAATCTTACTGATCCCATACTTTTGAACAGCACTGTACGCGTAGTAAAAATGGGTAGTTAGTAGTTAAATTAGTAGTCAATAAATACATTTCATTCATTTATTTATTTATTTTACTGTAACTCTTACTGTAAATTGTATGACAATTCATACTGTTCTTTTTTTTTAGCGTTTTACTGTAGAATTGCATGTATTGTCCTGTTAAAACAACGTATACAGTAAGTTTTTTTTCTTTTACATTACTCTGTTATATTACATATTATTTTATTCCTTTCCCATTAAAATTTCTAACATTTTTAAGCTTTGGTGGCATCTGTTATTATCTCCACATATTGGCATTCAAGACTTGGCATTCAAACTATACTCTTAAAAAGAAAGGGTCTTTATTGGCATCTATAGTTCCATGAAAAAAAAACATTAACATCCATGGAACCTTCCCATTGCAAAAAGGTTGATTAGATTATTAAAATGTTCTTCACACTAAGAAAAAAAAATATTTGAGGAATCCAAAAAGGCATTGCTGTGAAACCCCCTTTTGGAACCTTTTATTTTTTTAAGAGTTTTTTTTTTTTTTTAAGATTCTGACAAAACAGTCTCTAAATGACCTTGAGATTAGAAAAACTGAGATGATCGTCTCTGTACATATTGTAATGCCAAATCTGTAGAACAATCTATATTTTCCCCAACTCTTTTGGGAGTGGATAAATCTATTTGTTACTCAAACAGGAAGATTTGATGTAACAATTACGCAAGTACCAACTTCAAGTACGTAAGTATCAGGGCCAGTGCAAACAGAGGCAAGTATGTATATTTGAAGAGTAGAAAGCAACAGAACAAACCATGGGTCATCGTTCCTCAGTTCAGACCTGCCCTGGAGCCTGTAAAATCCACCTGCCTATATAGAGAATATAGAGCTACTGTAGCTATACTGTCAGATGAACAACCTAGATTCTTGCTGTTTAAATCAAGTTTGTTTGAGATACTTCATTGCTGTAATAGGTGTGTCACAGTAGTGTTTCGTGTTTGTTTTATGTTTAAATTAAATTACTCCACCGCATGAAATTTAATGAGAATGTGGGATTATGTATTTTATGTTGAGCTTGCTAAAACACCCCAGACATTGTTTACTGTCTGTAAATGGCAGATCCCACCTGACCATCTCTGTGGACTAAAAGTGCTGAGCTGGTTTTAAACCGGCTGGAAAACACCTAAACTTACAAGATAGCTGGTTCTGAATACATTAGACACTTGCATATTCATAGAGATATAAAAAGTTAATTATATTCACAAGAAGAAGTGTCTGTATGGTTGTGTCTTGCCTAAAGCTTTGACCGGATGATGTTTGACTCGTACATCTCAAAATAAATCTAGAAGAAGTTGCCGACTTTTTAGCCTATACTGTAGATCAGGAACACGTAGTCTTCTTTATTTCTGTACAAGATGACTTCACTTCTCCAGTAATTAACCTGAGTAATGACAATCAGTGTACAGGAATGACTCAATGGACAAATCTTATCTGAGTCACCATTAAATTCCTTATCGCAGCACACATCTCCATGTTTCTGAGGAATGACCTCTATAAAATATAATCTGTAAAGTTATGGCCCTTTCTCACATGCGCCTCAGCGATCAGAGCAAGCAGGCGTAGATAACTACATTAGATCATTACCTCACATGGGCAAAAGCCTCTTGGTGTACACACCTATTTAACAGATACACATCTGCAGGATGTGCTGATGTGGAGTAAGAAAACAGTTGGTTTAGCTATGTATTCATTAACTGGTATTTGTGTCACTCGTGTACTTTTATTAACACGGCAGGCCATAGGTGTAAATTAATTATTTGATTTGAAAACAGGACATTTAGATTTTTGAGTAAAATATTTATGGATAAATCTATTTAATTGATTTTAAACTTTATAGTAATGTAAAACACTTTATTGGAATTATTTATTTTGTTGACATAGTATTCTTTTATTTATTTATTTTTTGCTTTTATGACCACATATTAATTGACAGTCTGAAGGGAAGGTTTGTTCTTGTAATACAGTTACTTTATTAAAGTTATACACTTTCCCTCTTATACAATTACATTTAATTGATGTTTAATTAATAATATTTTTTTCCTCATATTGATTTAAAAAATCTGTTTTCCACCAACTAATGTCTAAGGCAATGCATTATCAAACACTGTCATTGTTTTTAATTAATAACGTTCAGTCACACCCATAATGCTTTTAAATGGTTTATTATTTTATTTTATTTTGACCGCATATTAATTGACAGACTGCATTGAAGATGTTTTCTTATAAAAACAGTTACTTACACTTTCCCTGTTGTGCAATTCAACTGAATTTATTTTTAATTAATAATTCTACGTTTATAGTATTCATCTTCATGTTGATTTAAAAAAAATCTCTTATGCGCCAACCGATATGCAATGAATGATTAACACTGTCCTTGTCCTCAACACAGCTGTAATACTTTTGCATGGTTTTCATATTTGTAATGTTTTTGCACAGTCCCACCACTCATTTCTCCTCCTGTCATTTCCGCACCTGTTCCTTACTCTATCAGTGATGCCACAGACACTGAACCCTTAGATTGAACCAGTACAACAAATTCAAAGCAACCCGCATCAAACGGTCAACATTTTCCACCATTATCTGATCAGTGTTGCAAGACGGACGTTTACATGCGCACTGCAGCGTGGTGCAATCGTACTTTGAGTCTCATCACAGAAGACAATATGACATAGCACATGTCCTGCCCTGATCGTCTTCTCTGTGTGATATGAGGCAGCGATGTCATGTCCTATAATCAGTCACCCATACCGCCTGCCTGGGGCTAAAAGTCAGAAGGTTGATGTAACTCCTCTGCCTATTTTCCCCTTTGAAACTTCAAACTCCAGTTTGTGAACAAAGTCCTGTCTATCTCCACAATAAGGATCTCCGACCACTGACCAAACTCCATTTGTAACCACTGCCTATTTGTACTTTCTCTCCAATGACTCTTTTCATTTCACCTGTCTGACCAAATGGGAATAACAAGTAGCACTACAAAGGTGGATGTGAAATGCACATGTTGTGGGAAGCGGTGGCCTACAAGGAATAACATGCTCTTGGAGTACTCGGGAATGTGTTTTACGTGGGAATATGAGTGTTTTGCTTTCTTTTGATTTTGAATATTTGATAAGAATGGGAGAAGACGGCAGGAATATGCTTACTAAAGCTCATTCGAGGTCAGTAGAAAAGCCACTGTAGATTGACTGAGGTAGATGGCACAGATATGTGAGTATGGCGACATAGTGAACACACAACAGATTGTCAACAGATTGGTTGGTAACCTGCTGCAAGCTCACACGGCTCATGCCCTTTGGGGGCAAAATCTTTACTTTTGCTTACTCTAAAAAATAATTTTTGACATCTATTTGTAGTTTTAAACTGTTGCAGTGTTAATAACACCTAATGTAAGAATGCTGAAATGTATCTTTATCCTAAGTGTGGAGGGGCTGATAAGTGTGGATAA